ATTCATCCACTTTCATTCTTAAAATTACACTATCGTTGCACTTTGTTTTGCTGAATGTAACCATAAACGAATATCAAATTGCAATATGGTTTAAATGCAGTTTTATCGTGACAGAAAATAAAAAAAATTCTATGGCTGTTATCACCAATACTTCCCGGTTCTTGAACTACCTCTAAGCTGTAGGCAATTTAATGATGAGCTGTGCAGAGATATTATGAATGGCATGTCAACGGATATTGTATCTGTGTTTTTTAAACTATCTGCTAATGTGGGAAATAAGCATTAAATGCTAATAAGTTTTTTTTTTCAACCTATTAAAAACAACCCAACAACAGCAAAATAATTACAAACAAACCAGTAGTTACGTAAAAAGTTGCACACTTCCATATTTAATGATTACTTTCACTTTACATTCAGAGCAGATGAATACTTTAATGCATGTCTTCTTCATTTCATAAAATTTTATCCTTGCCCAGGACTCTCAATGCATTTCAGTAAAACACGCTTATAGCGAACAGGTTTATAATGATATCGACGCTTACAGCGAAGTGATTTTCATTCCCTGAGACTTTAAAATATAAAACTTGATGGATATAATGAATTACTCTTATAACGAAGCAATATCACCCGTCCCTGGTACTTCGTTCTAAGCATGTTTTTATTCTTTTAAAATTATTGTGTAAGGATAGTGGCTTTATTTATGGGTCATCTGAATACATTCGACACTTACATACAGGAACAGTCTTTAAATATAAAATCTAAGGGTTAGTATAACTGTAGAAAGCATTTCATATCAAATAAAGTGACGAAAACGGGATGATTTATTACTTTTGGGGGACATTTTATAGAGCTGTTCATTATGTTGACTACAATCAAATCTAACTGAAAGTAATGAAAGACAATGCTACACGACTTTAATATGCATGTATATATAAACCATAATGCATCTAAGAAATTATCGCAATCATACTTTCCCCCTTCTTCTAGTAAAGTCAGTAACTTCATTGTGTTTTGAACTAGTTTCCCTTTTCACCATATTGATGAATGTTTTAATCACTCCATACAATACTGCTTGCTAAGAGGTTGCAAAAACAAGAACTTTTAAAGCTGGAGTATAATATTGCAGTTTAAAATTTTGCTATATATTCTTTCAGTACTAAAAATTTCAAACACAAGTTTGAGTAGGCTTCGTAAATTCAAAATAAACTTCTGTGAGATGTTGTAAAGTAATTCTTTTTTTTCTCTCTCTCTTTTTTTTTTTACATTTTAGTTTAAAACAAACAAAAACAAAACAAAAAAAAATACAAAAAACCCCAAACAAACAAAGAAACAAAACAAAACAAAAAACAAACAAACAAACAAAGAACAAATACCAAAACAAAACAAAAACAAATAATAAAAAGCAAAACAAAACAAAACAAAAACAAAAGAAACAAACAAAACAAAACAAAACCAAAAAAAAAAAAAAAAGAAAAAAAAGAAAAGAAAAAAAGAAAAGAAAAAAAAGATGATGAAAAATGATAATAATAATTACAATAAAAACAAGAGGCCAAAGGGCTTTCACCTGAGTATAATACAAAACTGTAAAAGGATCCATAGAAGTTTAAAACAAAATCAACTGACAGATGAAGCTATTTTGATTTGAACATATTTTATTGTCTATAAACTTTACAACTGGGATTGGGCAAAAGTTCTTAAAACTTAATACGCCCTCTCCCTACATATGAATTATACCAAAACATATTTACATATATGGGTTTCAGCTTAAAATGAATAAAACACAGAAAAGCATAATAATCAGAGAAACATTATACAATATACAAGCTCTATAGAATTTGCAAGAAGTAATTATTGCATCAACCAAAACGACCTGACTTTTTAATAAATGTTTGTACAATAGAAAATAAGTATTCATTTTCCACATTGTTTAACTTTTCATCTCCCCAGAGTAATGTATGAGTATCGACAGTATGTAATTTTCCCATTCGCAGAAATTTATCGAAAAATTCTTTTCTGGCTTCTGTATATTTTTTGCACGAGAAGAAATAATGATGGGTGTCCTCTACTTTTCCACAGGAACATAAGGGACTCAAGATTATATTACATCGAAAAAGATCGCTATTAAGTACACAGTTGTGTCGAAGCCTTGTATGTAATATATTTAAGCGTCGATTTCCGTAACTGAAGTAAGAGGGTGGCATAGTTTTATTATAAGAAATAGACTTTTTAAAAATAGATAATGAGGAAGAATTTCTTACAACAAGAGGTAATAAGTTCCAAGAATTTCAAAAATCTGGTACAAATACTAGTACCCTGATCTTCTTGGGATCGTACTTGGTTTTCCGTAGTTTTACAGGAATGATAATGAGTACAAAATATATAAATACAATGGACACTTTCTTAGTGTGTAAGATATGTGTTTGGCACCAGAACCTCTGATCTTGGGGTCATGAATTTCCTAATTTTGTTAAAGGGATCAATGCTTATTAAAATCATGCCAACAGTTTGAGTGCTTGTTGTCCAGTAGTAAAGAAGATTTTTAATTTTGAGGGTTTAGCCCCACCTCTCAGGCCCCAGGGGAGCAGGGGCCATGAATTTCACAATTTTTGTTCCCCTTTACCCATAAATGCTATATGCCAAAATTAGTTGAAATTGGTTCAGTGGTTCCAGAGAAGAAGCTGAAAATTGTCAAAAGTTTACGACCGACTTACGACGTACGACAAACGAAAACAGATAACAATAGGTCACCTGAGTGACTCGGGTGACCTAAAAAATAAATAAACTAGAAATATGTCCAAAGGACATGAATGCCCCGCCGAATGTACATTAGAAGTTTGATGAGAATATCTAGAATAGTTTCTAAAAATCTAAAAAAAAAATGAAATCTAAAAAAATGGATATACATGATGAATTCTCACTAAATTATGTATAAGTACATAAGTTTACATAAAAATATCTTAAATGCTTTCTTTAAAACTTAGCAAATTGCAAATTAAAGAAAACTGAGGTCAAGGTCATCGGAAAGTGCAAGGTCAAAAGTTTTTGAAATAGTTGAATAGTTCTCACTTTTTATGTGTCAGCATATTAAATTTGATAAAAATATCTTGAATGATTTCTTTAAAACTGAGCTAAACATTAATTTTAGAAAAGAGAAGTCAAGGTCAAAGGAAAGGCCAAGGTCAAAAAATGTTGATGCAGTTGAATAGGTTACATCAGTATGTATTAGCATTTGAAGTTTGATAAAAATATCATGAATGGTTTTTTTTTAAACTGAGCAAAATGCAAATTAAAGAAAAGCGAGGTCAGGGTCACTGGAAAGTGCAAGGTCAAAAGTTTTTGATGCAGTTGAATAGCTCTCACTAGTACATATCAGCATATTAAGTTTGATAAAAATATCTTGAATGGTATATTTAAAATTGAGCTAAACACAAATTTCAGAAAAGTGAGGTCAAGGTCAAAGGAAAGGTCAAGATCAAAAAATGTTGATGCAGTTGAATAGCTTACATCGGTATCTATCAGCATAGGAAGTTTGATAAAAATATCTTGAACAGTTTCTTTGAAACTGAGCTTTAAACTGAGCTAAACGCAAAGTGGTACGAAAGTACAGACGGAAGGACAAAATGATGGAAGGACAGAAGACAGACATGACAAACTCTATATGCCCCGGCCTTTTTCATGGCGGGGCATAAAAATAAAAACAAATAACAACAATTACAGTCAGCAATCAAGGCACGCAAATTTGTTTTGGTCGAAGTCGAGCAGGTCTTTGAAAATCGAGACCAGGGCCTAATCACTCCCCCTACAATACACAAAAATTTATCACGTCCAAAATTTTCAGGAATCTTGTATAATCGGAAAATTTACATTCAGTTTTTCATTTAAAAAATTAGTTGCAGTCTATTACAGAAATGCTCGAATTCGGAGGGGAGCTTCAGGGATTATTTAAATCTCCAGGCTATGTTTTGACTTGAATGAAATACTGTTATGGCACCTGCTACACAAAATGTTAACATATAGTCTGTCATGCTTTGTTGCCAAGGAAGCCATTAAAAAGACAAAGTTTGTCCATGCCCTTGGAATGAAAACATAAATGTTGTTTTTGGATATAGTATATTTTAGGGACTTTTGATGAAAACGCTTTAAAAAATGTATAAAACAGGATACGCTCTAGAAAGGTTCGAATATTATGATATTAATAGTGCTAGCTTGCTGGAGTAAAGATTCACTATTTCTATGATTTGGTTGTAATAGTTTACTAACAATTTATGAAATCTACTTGTAAGTATGTATTGATTTTTTTCTACTTTGTTTTTGTATAGAGTGCACGAATTAAAAGGGTAATTATTGTGAATTATAATACATGTACTCATCAGACTGAAGTTAAAACTTTTATGAATTATCAGTAACACATTGACACAATCATTCTAGATTGTGTTTACCAGGTCTGAATATAGTCCCAGTGTGTACAACCAAGTGTCGTCCAACTTAACTTTGAACAATATAGACAAACTAAGGAATTTTAAACACAGTGGCAATCACTGAAATTGTTATATTAAAGATTATCATTCATAAAGTTGAAATCTAGTATGATAAGGCTTATTACTCTTACAAGATACATGTATGTATTTTTTTCATTACTTTACCGCTTGGTGATATTTAAGATATCCCAATCTTTTAACACATTCCGTCCATTCATAACATGCCATGTATAAACAGCCTTCATCTCGCAAAGAGTATTGACAAAGTCCATTTATGTTTACTCATGTATGTTATGTAACTGTTGGGTTGTAATTCCTCGAAAATGTTAGGGTTGATATCAAATAATAATTACGTTTACAATGCATAATTTTTAAACATTTTACAATCTTATTACATTTTTGCAAAAAGTTATGTTTTTTAATAAAAGTTTTCTCCCTATTGTTTGTTTGTTTACAATGATATACACATGCATTGTTAATGATATTACATAAAGTTTAATGTCATTTTTTTCTAGTCGATCCGTGATATGTTGTGGATGCCGTTGAATTGGAGCATTCTTTTTGTCAGTGTGGTGGTGGCAGAGTCAAGAAAAAGCAGACCAAATCATGACATATTGTTGGACATCAAGAAACAAAAACTACTTTCACTCATAAATGAGCTACGGAACAGCTACACATCACGAGACAACTCAAATGAGGAACAAAATTGGCAGGTGCGTTTAACTTCAACTTTTAAAACTACTTTATTAAATAAAAGTACAGAAGTGACAAAATTACTTTAAAAAAAAAATGGATATAGCAATATGTTACAAAATTTTTGTAGAATGCTAAAAGAAATAAATTTTAAGTCCTTATTAAATATGTGATAAACACGAATGTCTGAACATCACAGATGTTGTGAATTTTTTTTAATTAAGCATTTAGATATATCTAATATTTCTATAATACCATTAGGAATACAAAGTCACAATGGACCCTACAGATTCAACACCTCAATCGTTTCTGGACGAACTTTTTCCAAAGTGCAAGAATTTCAGTATGTGGTGTGCGTTTAAGCAGTTATTTCCTGGAGAAAATTTTACAGATGTTGAATATGGGGATGTGAAAGAGGAAGCCCGGTATGGTCTATGAAAAAGAATTATTCGTTTTTAGAATGCAAATGGATTTGATTTAGTCTAAAGAAACGAGAAAGTATCGATTAAGTGCAACTTTATTTTAAAATGCTTCATACACAAATACTACCCGATACCGGGTAAATATAGGAGTTGTGGTGGCGATACTCAATTAAGAAAGTTTCACACACACTTTTTCACCGTGTGAATGTCTGGGGAATTAGCTCGTAGTATGCCACTCGGCTTTCTACTGATTGCTATATCTGATGGAAAAGAGAAACAAATTCCTTTAAATCAAATTTATGTCTTTATTCTTAAAGCATCGGATGGAAAGTGTTTAACATTTTAAACACAAGATAACAAATTTCGATACACTGTTATAGATAAGTTTAACTTGATAAAGTCTAAACTTTTAATGTAACAAAAGAAGTCTCAGTTAGGTTATCTAAAATAACTAAGCTATTTTCTTCATAATTTCATTTTCTAGAGAGATCCTTGAATCCGAGAGTAGAAAAAGAACAGACGATCTTTCATCTTGGGGAAGTAAGTGGATGAATGAAAATATACATGAGAATGTTAAAAAAGCCGATATTTCTGTAATTGTTATTTTATCGTATTTTCAGAATACCTTACCTTCAATTGCCGGGATAAACATGTTTTTTCGGGGGTTAATTTTTGATTTCACTTGTTTTATCATTTGTGACAAGGTTCTAAATAACACGATTGGTCATTTTACCTGCTCTTTCAGAGTATACCTGCAGCTGGAGAATTGGTTGTCTGGTCGTCTGCCTACTAATAACTTTAAAGAGAGGTATTCAATTATTCAGATGATGAAATAGACTGAATGTTACTCATCTGCATATACAGCATATACAGCAATGATGCAATATCGAAATATAACAACAAACATTATTTTTCTCATATTACAAAATTATATTTATTTCCAGATTATCTATGGAAGAGGAAATTAGAGAGGTATATATTGTTGCTTTTATTTCTATTTTTAAATTAGTGATAAAGTGCATATATTAATGTTTTACTTACCAAAACATTTATTGTTGATTTTGATTTTGTTACACAATTTTCTTGTAGTGTTTCCAGGATTGATGCCTCAGTACAGTGCTGTATCATGTCGGACTGGCCCGAGGAAAATTCATATGTACCTTATTTCGCTCCGCTTCGAGAGGATGACTTGGAAATCGACGCCTCTGGAAGAAAATGTTCGAATTTTTACAGCCTTTCCGGAATCAAAGATAAGAAATGTAAAGGTTTATCTTAAAAATAACGATGTATCAAAAAAGATCATAAAGAATTTCGCATCATGGATTTGATTATATTAAGTTTGTGATGAGTGCTCAAATGGTCATAAATCACAGTTTTGGAGTATAAAAGTTTTTCATGCATTTTGTTGTAGTAAACGTGCAACGTCTGTTGTGTGTCGTTAATTTCTAAACATTTTCGACTTCTTCTCCAAAAGTGGGTCCATTTTAACAAATTAAAGCTGCCCAAAATCCATAGAAAGGGGGTTAAAATTTGATAAGATGATCAGAATATCAAGATTTTTGCATAAATTTTGTGTAGAAGTGTAGATTCTGAAGAGGATTGATAACAATTTTCCACATATATACATAAAACTTACATGCATAATTAACTTTGTAAAAATTAATAAAACATTATTTGATCAAAACTGAATAAACACTACACTGACAGGCTTCTGTAGTTTACATACCTGTACTTTAAGTGATTTTAAAAGATTTTTGAGTCTACACTTCACCAAGATGCTTGCATTTGCTTAATGATTTGACATTTTATTTTTGTATTTCTCGGCAAAACAATTTTCAAACATGTCATCCCAAATCTTACACTTGATTATGTTACTAGTAATCACAAAGTGATAATTTGAGGAAAACTTTTTCAAAAGGTTCTAAGTTAGTCTCTTTCCCTGGCCTTTCTAAAATGATCCACAATTCGTTTGCGGAACATTATGGGAAATCCAGGGAAACAGTCTAGTTCTAAATTTACTCCACATGAGGATGCTTGCATGTACATGTGTAAATGCCTTTTTGTTACCGAAATTTTTAAAATTCTTATGTTAATTTTGGTTTTCTTTGGTTCCCCCATTCTGCTTACTTGACAAAAAAAGGACGCCTCTCAAAAATTTTGCAGCATTTTACTCATATGTGTGATACATGTATTTATATCATATTTGATTGATTGATTATTTAGGGCTTTAAGCTACGGCGAGGCTTCATTAATAGACATGTATCAAATCCTATTATAGATGAACTCATCCGGAAATTATCCAAGCATTTAGCCGTGGGAGAAGCAATACAACGCGTAGGGATATTTTTGGGATTAACAGCTACCGATATCTGCATCATTAGGCAAGATTACAAAGGAGATTCGAAAGAAATCGCATATCGGTGCCTGAAAAAATGGACGGAAGTACGACCCAGCGAGGGACGGAAGGAGTTGGAGGATGCCATCATCAAAGCTGGATTGGGTGGTATTCTTCACAGAATTATATAATGAAACATTTTTGAAAAAAGGGGAAGGAATGACGTTTTAAAATCCTTAATGTGCATGGCTTACAGACTTTTTGTGTGACTGACTCCAGTTCACAGATTGAATCTTTACTATCTTGAGCACTTTCACACACATCTTATGAAAAATTAAGTCAAAATGATTTTTTTAAAAAAATTCTCCTTTCATATATATAGAGGCCTTCCACCTAAAAAAATGAACTTAAAGATGAAATCCATGAAAAAATTTCACTTCAAAACACACTATTAACACTGTAGAATAGTATGCTAAATTGACCTTTTCAGATATATATTTTCTTCCCAGTTTATCTAAAAATTAGATTTATTTCACTGAATTTCGAAAGTTAATTCGTTAAAAGACTATGAATAAATATAATCCTGGTTTCTTGATAAAATCACATTCTTCTAAGAATTCTAGATTTTGTTCAACTGATAGAATCTCTGGTCATTTGCTGTTCACTCGAGAAAAAAAGGCCGCGTATAATACAATCCTGTCTACTGTTGACAACCATCTGATTTCTTAAGTTTTTTTTCAGAATAAAGTAATATCAACGAATGAATGCATTTTTAGGATGTGAAATATAGTGTATGTGTCCCCCACCCCCCATTAGTTGTAATGACGATTGAATTTACCGTCTTTTGTCACGAGTAACAAGCAATCTGAGCAACTCTTGCAATATTTTCCAGTTTTATAGTTTTTTGGCCAGTTATTTATACATATTTATACACACACATGTATATTCTGAACATTATATTATTCTGTTTGTTATGACGTTTTCAGAGGTACACCAAACCTCTCAAACCGAACAAACTGGTAAATTTGTTGTTATTATATACTTCGTTTTTCTTTTCTTTGCTGGAAATGAGAATGAAAGGAGTGTTAATTAATAACTCTGATAAATCAGCTATATATTCTCAATCTTTTCATTTAAGATGTAGATAAAAATTACAATAAAGTCAAGGGAAAACGTTTTTACCATTTGCTTATCAAGAAGGAATGCTATTACATTCCATTTTTTGATTGTGAACACTTTGCTATATGCGAAAAGTTTCATTAGGATATTGAACTATCATATATTCATTTATCAGAGTATAAAGATTAAATAACGTCAGAAGTTTAGAAGACTAAACAAATCATTGTTGTAGTCTGTTTTAAGCATAATTCATATAGGCAGCTCTTATCAATTTGTTATGGTGTTTGAAATCAAAATGATCAAACTGAACAAATTTCTCCTTTCATTTCATTTTCTGAATGTTGTGCTGCAGCATTATTTTATTTTATTTTATTTAATTTTAATTTTTTACATTTTAAATTTTACATATTTATCTATCAAAGACTTTGTAACGATCAGTTGTGATGACGTATTTTGAAAAGTACATTCCTAAACCGAACAATTATAATCTTGTTCATTTTCGACAATTTTACCATTGATAAGTAATTACCGGTATTCTCAAAACACAACTGGAGAATAATGATTATGAAATTCACATCAATTTTGTAACTGCAGTAACATTATATTTGTGTGATTCACATTTTATATTTGATATATACTATTTCCAAATAATATGGAATGTCTATGTTTATAAAAATTGACACTTAAGACCCAAGTCATTTGTTTTTCTGTTATGTGTCAAGTTTATTCTTCTGTTTTGTATATCGAGTCAAACTCTGTAAAACATTCCAGGACAGCAAGAAGAAATTAAGGAAAACACCTAACTTCCAAAAGGAAAAAGAAAAAACAAAATACAAGCGCACTCAAAACAGAAAAAAACCTCATAAATTTGGTTTAATATGTTAGATGCGATTGTGAACAATTTGTAATGACGTTTAGGAATCAAATATTTTATATCTATACTGCACAATTGATTTTTTGTACCAAAGTATTGGCTTGTAAAGTAAAACTTAAGCTCATTATACATTGTATATTAAATAAAATCAACTTTTCAAAGTAATTATATGTTTTTCATCGTTTTCATGAATGTTTTATAACTTACAGTGTTGAATTATATATATATATATATATATATATATATATATATATATATATATATATATATATATATATATATATATATATATATATATATAAAACACAAAGAAATTTATGATTTTATGATACAAGGATACCCACTACCGCCCCAACCGTTCAACTCGAACGCTGCGAATCCGTCTCTTAACAGTACGTGAACAGGGTGCTAGACCGTTTGACCAACTTTGTAAGTTAAAAATCTTGCTTTCGATGACGATGGAATTCTTGTGGCGACATGGTTATTGAGAATGGAAGTAAGACACAGCTATTCGAAAACACACACACCCTCACACACACAGTCTTGGCTGCATATCATTATTTTAATTGTTTTTAAATTCAAAGTTGCAAAGGTTTACCAGAGTTTGAGCTTGAGCTACTTATTTATCGAAAGAAAAACTTAATATTGTTTCTCTATAAGTATTATAGTCCTTGAAGAATTATATATATATATATATATATATATATATATATATATATATATATATATATATATATATATATATATATATTTTAGAAAATTTTGTTTTTCGGCCCCATTTAGTCCCCAGAATGAAAATGAAACACCCAAAACATTATTGCAAATGAACAGGACACCGCAATCACATTCCCATTCCAAAACTTTGATTCGGGAGACACTGGTTCGATTCTCGTTCTCCGCGCCGCATCAGACTTAAGAAGCGACTGTTCCTACACTGGAAGTCACGGGTCCTTAGGATAAGACCTTAAAAACCGAGGTCCCGTGTCGCGGTAGGCACGATAAAGAACCCTCACTGCTCAATGACCAGGAGTGTCGAGTATAGGTCTAAAGGATCACTTCTAGGTAAATATATGCGTTGACCTATAGCGCCGATATTGGTTTCATTCTTTAGAAAAAGCTTATCGATATCCGTTCCGGTCGCTGACTTTAGGCCACATGCGTGTAGTTACTTGTTTCTCATGTATCGTTTTAGTTCTAGTCAACTGTGTGTTCATATGACCCTACATCGGTATTTACATATACATCCTTTGTATGAGGGTCCTTACTTGATTCCTGGGTAATGGCAACGGGACATAAAACATTAACTGACCTTACCACGTTCTTTTCTAATCTGTAAACCTTCCTCCTGCATTTTTGACACAATGCACTCAATTTTCCTGAGGAATGAACTGCATCTACTCTGCATAGCGCAGTATCTCTCCCACTGGCACAACAATACTACTAACCAGAGATGTTCTTGAAAGACAAACACAGCAATTTTTGCTCGGCATGATTGTTTTTTCGTGACACCTGCAGTATCGAGTAACAGAAAGTGAATGATTCGTGTCCTCGAACAAAGTGTGCTTACACTGAGGTATACAGTTCCGGCTGATTGCGTTTAGTTAAAGAGAATTTATAATCTGCATTTCCATAAATGTCTTTTATATCAACAGCAAACATACATTTAAAGAAGAAAGTGGAAGTAAAATGCAAAAGCCTGTATAAAAAATTAAAGTTCGTGTTTATACAGGTGTAAAATTTGAAAAAAAAAAAAAGTGTGCCAACAGGTGGATTCGAACCAGGACATAAAGAAGGTCCATTGTAAGAATCTGCGGTCTATCTCTCTGAGCTATAATGACTATGAAAAATGCATTCCCTAAATGTAATCCAGTATGATGGAACTAGGTTTTTCGCATTTTTTGTAGGTTTTTCACGAATTTCGACCCTAAGGCAGGGGTGCCCCTAAAAAAATCTTGTTTTAAATCATTCTTTAGATCAAAATCTATCAAAATTTCATAATTTAATTTAGGGGCAGGCCTGCCCTGAAGGACTTCTATGCCAAAATTCACGCAAAAATTAGTGCTTTAACAGACAAAATACTGTTTTGACCAACTTTGGAGGTTAATTTCAAAGTTGCAAATAAAAAAAATTACGTTTAAATGCAAATTTGAAAAATTTAGACAAATATACAATAGAAAAAAACTAAAGAACATTGATTTTTAAATGCGACTTTTTCCGGAAAATAGTTCTTTCCTATAGGTCAAATCTTTTGTTATAACGAATACATCCTTTGAAGCCCTTCACCGGTGTATGGTAACATCTTCATATGAGTGAAAAATTCTCGAATGGGACGTTAAAAAAACATATAATCAATCAATCCTATTCCAAAAGATGATGGCAGTAAGGGGAAAGCAGTATGGGAAAAAATGTTTTCCATACTGCTTAAAATATAGGAAGAGTTTCGGGAACATGATCTTCATAGAAAAACTTTTTTTAGACTCCAAATGGCCAAGCGGATGAAAATGAAATGAAGGAAAGCTTCGTGAAAATGAAATGATAGGAAAGTTTCGTCGGTTCTAAGAAACAGCAACATACTGACAGTGTTCTCTGCCATTTTCTGACTTCTGCAGCACATAAGATTTAGACTGAAGATCCTTGCTGAGGAAGTAGTTGTTCAGCAAGCAGCTAGGCATAGAAGAAATAAAATATGTTCATATACATTATAACCACCAGTTTATTCTTCCCGTGGTTGAGTCTCAAGTATTCCAAAAATGCTTCCCATACGTTTAGTAATTTTTGAATAAGTCATAGTTCAGTTTACACTACTTTGGGCATCTGTCCATACAGTCTCCCTTTCTGTGCAAGAGTGAACGCCTCTAGTGCATCTATACATGACAATTTTAGAGTACATGACCATAATACAGTGTACATGTAGTGTAAATATGGAGTTCTACTCTCTGTTTCTAGAATTTGTTTCGTAACTCTGCCTTTTGACAAAGCCAATAAAGCAGCCATATCATGATGCCTCAAATTTATAAATCTCTAGGGTTGTCTGTGATTGCAGAAACAATCGTGTCAGTTTTAGTTCATAGACTTCCTGAAAAACCTAGACAAGTTTCTTGTTGCACAACTTAAGCATCTTGGTCAATTAATTAGCTGTTCTCCGTTGGATATATCTGTATTTTCGTCAGTCATTATGGTTAGTAATTCTACACATTCTTCTCGATATCTTTTATTACATTTCTGTTTTGTTTGTCGTGAATTTAAGTTCCTCATTTTGTTTATCCACCAAAGTATTTCTTGTCT